TACACACAGTCTACACACAGTACACACAGTCTACACACAGTACACACACAGTCTACACACAGTCTACACACAGTCTACACAGTCTACACACAGTACACACACAGTCTACACAGTCTACACACAGTCTACACACAGTCTACACACAGTACACACAGTCTACACACAGTCTACACACAGTCTACACAGTACACACAGTCTACACACAGTACACACAGTCTACACACAGTACACACAGTCTACACACAGTCTACACAGTCTACACACAGTACACACAGTCTACACACAGTACACACAGTCTACACACAGTCTACACAGTCTACACACAGTACACACACAGTCTACACACAGTCTACACACAGTCTACACACAGTACACACAGTCTACACAGTCTACACACAGTCTACACACAGTACACACACAGTCTACACACAGTCTACACACAGTCTACACACAGTACACACAGTCTACACAGTCTACACACAGTCTACACACAGTACACACAGTCTACACACAGTACACACAGTCTACACACAGTACACACAGTCTACAGAGATACTACACACAGTCTACACACAGTACACACAGTCTACACACAGTACACACAGTCTACACACAGTCTACACACAGTCTACAGAGATACTACACACAGTCCACACAGTCTACACACAGTACACACAGTCTACAGAGATACTACACACAGTCTACACACAGTACACACACAGTACACACAGTCTACAGAGATACTACACACAGTCTACAGAGATACTACACACAGTCTACACACAGTCTACACACAGTCTACAGAGATACTACACACAGTCTACACACAGTCTACACACAGTCTACAGAGATACTACACACAGTCTACACACAGTCTACACACAGTACACACACAGTACACACAGTCTACAGAGATACTACACACAGTCTACACACAGTCCACACACAGTACACACAGTCTACACACAGTACACACAGTCTACACACAGTCTACACACAGTACACACAGTCTACACACAGTACACACAGTCTACACACAGTACACACAGACTACACACAGTCCACACAGTCTACACACAGTACACACAGTCTACACACAGTACACACAGTCTACACACAGTACACACAGACTACACACAGTACACACAGTCTACACACAGTACACAGAGATACTACACACAGTCTACACACAGTCTACACAGTCTACACACAGTACACACAGTCTACACACAGTACACACAGTCTACACAGTCTACACACAGTACACACAGTCTACACAGTCTACAGAGATACTACACACAGTCCACACAGTCTACACACAGTACACAGTCTACACAGTCTACACACAGTCTACAGAGATACTACACACAGTCCCACACAGTCTACACACAGTACACAGTCTACACAGTCTACACACAGTCTATACGAGATACTACACCAGTCCACACAGTCTACACACAGTACACACAGTCCACACACAGTCTACACAGTCTACAGAGATACTACACACAGTCTACACAGTCTACACACAGTCTACACACAGTCTGCACACAGTACACACAGTCTACACACAGTCTACACACAGTCCACAGAGAGGGTACACACAGTCTACACACAGTACACACAGTCTACACACAGTACACACAGTCTACACAGTCTACACACAGTCTACACACAGTCCACAGAGAGGGTACACACAGTCTACACACAGTCTACACGGTCTACAGAGATACTACACACAGTCTACACACAGTCCTACACACAGTCTACACACAGTACACACAGTACTACACACAGTCTAACACACAGTCCCACACGAGAGGGTACACACAGTCTACACACAGTCCACAAGATAGGGTACACACAGTCTACACACAGTCTACAGAGATACTACCACACAGTCTAACACGTCTACACACAGTCCTACACACAGTCTACAGAGAGGGTACTACACACCAGTCTACCACAGTCTACCACACAGTCTACACAGATACTACAACACAGTCTATCACACAGTCTACACACAGTCTACAGGAAGTGGTACTACACACAGTCTACACCACAGTCCTACACACAGTCCACAGAGAGGGTACTACCACACAGTCCTACACACAGTCTACACACAGGCCACAGACGAGGGTACTACCCACAGTCCTACACACAGTCTACACAGATACTACACACAGTCTACACAAAGTCTACACAAAGTCCACAGAGAGGTACTACACACAGTCTAACACAGTCTACAGAGAGTCTACACATAGTCTACACACAGTCTACACAGTCTACACACAGTCTACATAGATACTACACAGTCTACACAGATACTACAGAGATACTACACAGGGGACAGAAAGTCTGCAGAGAGGGTACGCCTAACGACACGTGCGCTGCGGTCTGTACGGTCTGTGAGCAGTGCACACACCACGCCATGCCACACCACCAAACCACCACCACCACCACCACACCAATACACCAACACACCACCACACCACACACCACACCACCACACCAACACACCAATACACCAACACACCAATACACCAACACACCACCACACCAACACACCACCACCCCAACACACCAACACACCACCACATCACCACACCAACACATCCAACACACCAACCACACCACACACCACCACACACCAACACACCAACACACCAACACACCACCACACCAACACACCACCACACCACCACATCACCACAACCAACACACCAACCACATCACCAACACCAACACACACCTACACCACCACACCACCACACCCACACCACACACCACCACACACCACCACACCACCACACCAACACACCAACACACCAACACACCACCACACCAACACACCACCACACCAATACACCAACACACCAACACACCACCACACCACCACACCACCACACCAACACACCACCACACCAACACACCACCACACCACCACACCAACACACCACCACACCACCACACCACCACACCAACACACCACCACACCACACTACCAATACACCAACACACCACCACACCAACACACCAACACACCACCACACCAACACACCACCACACCACCACACCAATACACCACCACACCACCACACCAACACACCAACACACACCACACCAACACACCACCACACCAACACACCACCACACCACACCAACCACACCACCAGACACCACACACACCACCACAACACACCACCACACCAACCACACCAACACACCACCACACCACCACACCAACCACACACACCACACCACCACACCACCCAACACACCAACACACCACACACCACCACACCACCACACCAACACACCAACACACCACCACACCAACACACCACCACACAACCACACCACCACACCACCACCCACACACCACCACACCACACACCACCACCACCACACCAACACACCACCACACCAACACACCACCACACCAACACACCACCACACCACCACACCAACACACCACCACGCCATGCCACACCAACACACCACCACACCAACACACCAACACACCACCACACCAACACACCACCACACCACCACACCACCACACCAACACACCAACACACCACCACACCAACACACCCATACACCAACACACCACCACACCAATACACCAACAGGACCACCACACCAACACACCACCACACCACACACCCACCACGCCACCCCACCCACCACCCACCACCATGCACCACCACACACCACCACAACCAACACACCGCCACCACACCCAACCACACCACCACACCAACACACCACCACACCAACACACCAACCACACCACACACCACCACACACCAACCACACCACACACCACCACACCACACACCACCACACCAACACACCACCACAACACACCACACCAATACACCAACACACCACCACACCAACACAACACCACACCACCACACCACCACACCAACACACCAACACACAACCACACCACCAACACCACCACACCAACACACCACACACCAACACACCCAACATACCACCACCCAAACACACAACACACCACCACACCAACACACCACCACACCAACACACCACCACACCAACACACCACCACACCAACACACCAACACACCACCACACCAACACACCACCACACCAACACACCACCACACCACCACACCAACACACCACCACACCAACACACCACCACACCAACACACCACCACACCAACACACCAACACACACCACCACACCACCACGCCATGCCACACCACCACACCAACACACACCACCCAACACACCAACACACCAACACCACCACACCACCAACCAATACACCAACACACCACCACACCAACACACACCACACCACACCACCACACCAACACACCACACACCACCACACCACCACACCAACACACCACCACACCACCACACCACCACACCACACACCAACACACAACACACCACCACACCAACACACCAACACACCACCAACCAACACACCAACACACCACCAAACCAACACACCACACAACCACCACACCACCACACCAACACACCACCACACCAACACACCACCACACCAACACACCAACACACCACCACACCAACACACCAACACACCACCACACCACCACACCAACACACCACCACACCAACACACCACCACACCAACACACCACCACACCACCACACCAACACACCACCACACCACCACACCACCACACCAACACACCAACACACCAACACACCACCACACCACACACCACACACCACCACACCAACACACCAAACACACCACCAAACCAACACACCACACACCACCACACCACCACACCACACACCACCACACCACACAACCACCAACACCCAACACACCACCAACCACAACCAACACACCACCACACCACCACCACCAACAACACACCACCACACCAAACACACCCACCACAACCACACCACCACACCACCACACCAACACACCACCACACCAACACACCAACACGCGTGCACGCCGCGGAGACTTTACGCGAGTTTCAAACGCCGTGCGCGTAACTTTGTATGGAGTTTTTGTTGTTGCGCAGTCTATGTGCAGTCTATACACAGTCTATATATACAGTCTATACATACAGTCTATATATATACAGACTGCATTGGTGTATAAACCCGCTACATTACGGTACTTGCCATGGTATTACACGCAGTGGGTATGAAGGATTCCCACGCAAAGTCTTGGCTGCATTGCAGTTTACACGCCTCTTGCAGTATCTATGGACTGCATGTAGCACACAGTACTTCTACAGTACTTCTACAGTACTTCTACAGGACACAGATCCCCCGTGTAGCCTTAACATTGTAGGGGCAAGTGCTTTCAGCGAGTAGCAGCGGCACACGAGGGGGTGGGTGGCCAGCACCACCGCCTTTGTCTCCCCAGCGGTGATGTTTACGCACCGGGTACTTATTTGAGGCTGAGTCTACCTAGGGGAGGCCCAAGGACCGGTTCAGATAATCGTCACTGGGTGTTGTTGGCCGTGAGCTGGAGTCGAACTCGGGGTCGCCGGGTTCGTAGCGCTAACCGCTGCACCACCGCTCCATACACACAGTACACACACATAGACACACAGTACACACACACACTTACACACACACAGTACACACACACACACTTACACACACACACTTACACACACACAGTACACACACACAGTACACACACAGTACACACACACAGTACACACAGTGCACACAGTACACACACACAGTACACACACAGACACATAGCACACACACACACAGTATACACACACAGTGTACACACACAGTACACACACACTTACACACACAGTACACACACACAGTACACACACAGTATACACACACAGTATACACACACAGTGCACATAGTACATACACACAGTATACACACACACAGTACACACACACAGTACACACACACACAGTACACACACAGTACACACGCTTGACAAACCTGAGTGCAGCAATGAAGCAAATGGACAGACAGTGGTGAGATGTTTGGATATAGAACAAGTGGCCATCATTTGATATCTTACAGAGAGAGGGTCCTTGCAGACATCTGACATTTGCGCCAGCATTGATTGAAAAGTTTTTAAAATATTTTCAGAATGGTAATATTTGTTTATACCAGAGGAATCCGATGAGCTATAAAGCTACTTTTTTCACAGATGTCTGGGAATGTAAACTTAATCTTTTTAAAATGTTACCAGGTAAGCCCTCCACTGAGTTAACTATGTACATCTTTTTCAGAAGCGACCTGCCAATCACAAACGATAGCAAGCTCAGTGAAGTGGCTTATAACGTGAAGATTTACAGCAGCCAGATAACTCTAAACGCCTGACGCTGATCCTAAATGTGGAGCGAATAACCGGGGGATCCGGAGAAAAATCCACGTGACCACGGGAAGAGAGAGACACACAAATACACAGCAGCAGGCGTCAGGGTCGGGATCGAAGCCACGACCTCCTGTATACCAGGCGAGGTAGTTAACATCTCCTTGTCACCCTGATGATGATGGTGAGAGAGAGACACGCAAACTCCCAATATACAGCAGGCGTCAGGGTCGGGTTTGAAGCCATGCCCTCCTGCATACCAGACGAGGTAGTTAACATTCTAGCCACAGTGGCACGATATTAATCCCCCCTGAGGGCACAAATATTTTACTGAAACACCTCTGCTACTGGTGGAACAGGTAATTTGGAGAAACCATACCTGTCAACCCCTAATCAGTGCCCTACCTAATTACAGACCAATTCAGACCTTATTGGTCACCCCGTGCCCTTATACATCTCAACGTTCATCTTACAAAGTCCCATCGCAAGGGAGAAACACGAACAAATAGACATCTTTTTTGCTCATCATTGAAACGGCTGTACGCCGTATGGACCTGAAAACTCTATTTCTCTGAAACAAGAATACGGGGTAAACCGTGTGGGTTGACACAGTATGATTATTCATCCTTGATTCAACCACAGTCACCATCTTTTATTGGACCACAATAAACAACCTTTATTCAGCCCCACAGTCTCGATCCTTCATTCAACTTATGAGTCGGCTGTGCCGCGCTTGTGCGTAGGCGCCGTGGTGATGGAACACACATACACCATCCTTTATTCAAGCCCACAGTCCCTATTCTTTACTCAACGCGTGAGTCGGCTCTGCGTGTGTGCGTAGGCCCCACCGCGGTGGTGATGGGCCGATGGATCTGGAGGAAGCTTTCGTGGTCGTTGGCGCCTGCGGTCCCTACCAGCGCCGTCGCTGTGGCCTGCTGCTGCTCGTGCAGGTGCCAGGACGACAGCGGCGTGGCTCCCACAATCATCGCCGTCATCGTCGTCATCGTTATCATTATCGTTGTCATCGCCATCATCGTCGTCATCGGCATCGTCGTCATCGTTATCGTCATCATCAGCATCATCGTTATCATCGTCATCATCGTTGTCATAGCCGTCGTCATTGTCATCGTCATCATCGTTATCATCGTAATCGTCATCATCGTCGTCATCATCGTCGTCATCATCATCATCATCGTCGTCATCGTCATCATCGTTATCATCGTCATCGTCATCATCGTTATCGTCATCATCGTCATCATCATCATCATCATCGTTATCATCATCGTTGTCATCGCCGTCATTGTCGTCATCGTCGTCATCATCATCGTCATCATCGGCATCGTTATCATCACCCTCACTGTCATCCGTCGTGATCATCTTGATACACCTTTATATTTTACACCTCCGAACTCTACCCCACCTCCATCAGGTTAATCATTAAGAAACAAACGATTTATTTTTTCTTTTACCAGGTAAGGCCCAGCTGAGCTCTTTGTAGCTCTTTTCAGAAGCGGACCCGGCCATCACAAACGATAGCTCAACAGAGAGTGACTTGTCATCATCACGTGGAAATTTATAGCAGTAGCCAAAGACTCTAAACGCGTGGTGACGTTGATTCTAAATGTGGAGGGGAAAAACCGGAGGACCCGGAGAAAAATCCACGCGACCAATGGGGAGAAAGACGCAGCAAACTCCAAATATACAGCAGCAGGCGTCAGGGTCTAGATCGAACCCACGACCTCCTGCGTACCAGGCGAGGTAGTTAACATCTCGCCACTTCGGCACCCAGTTTCTAACTCGCTGTGCCGGATGGAATTCAGCGTAAAGCAGCAATTGATTTAAGTGGTGAGCCCAGCACTCACCGATTCACCCTCCAGTCTCTCGCTCACTCACCGGCGGTCAATCACCTTGTCACTCTTCTATCGCTACTACTGCTACTACCGTGGTTAGCGTTCGCGTGAGCTTCAATCACCGATTCACTCCACCCATGGTGAGCCGAGGACTGGGATGAGCGAGTCGGTGAGTTGCTGTGACCTGCAGCGTGACGGTTGAACACGGTGTCGATGAGATTAAAAAAACAGCCAGTGTCTGGTCGTCCCGAGTCCTCCACGCAGGGTGGAAGAAATGAGCGAGCGAAGTTGTCGGGACCGGTTACTTCGTGGCGAGATGTTAACTCCGTTGCCTGGTACGCAGGAGGTCATGGGTTCGATCCCAACCGTGACGCCTGCTGTACGTTGGGAGTTTGCGGTGTCTCTTCTCCCCCTCTGGTCGCGTGGATTTTTCTCCGGGTCTGCCGGATATTCCCTCCACATTTAGAAACGTGCGTTTAGAGTGTTTGGCTGCGATCAATCTACACGTGAGAAACTACTTCGTTGAGCTATCATTTGTGGCCAGGTCGCTTCTGAAAAAAAATAGTTGATAGCATTGGCACTTCCAATAAGCATGGTTTTGCGATGTACAGTGCGAAAGAATTTCAACATACGTACATACAGAATGAGAGTGCTATGGCTACAGCGCAATAACACGAACCATTGTCCCAAGCTATTGTAAATACGTATGTATGTTGAACGTCTTTCGCACCGTACGTAGCCAATCGTGATAATAAGAGGTGCGGAAGATGAACAACAAACTAAACACACTAAGGAGTTAAATAGAAATGAATTTGTCAATTTAGATTTAAAAGTGCATAGCTCCCAGCGGCTTCCTAAGGGGCCGTCCATAAATGACGTCACGCACCTGGGGGGGGGGGGTCAGACATTTGTGACGATGTGTGACGAGGGGGGGGGGGGTTTGTGAATTGTGACGTCACATCAAAATGCACAACTTGAAATAAATATAGACAACACGTTCTACTTAATTAAATAGACTTTTTAATAAATGTTTTCTCCTACAACATCAGAGTGCAGCGGCACATTAAATACGCACTACAATGACAATAGTTTAAAGCGATTTGAAGCATGTTTTTTTTTTGGGGGGGGGGGGCAGAGCTTTGTGACGTCATATTTGAGGGAGGGGTCTGACTTTTTGTGACGCCGTGTGACGAGGGGGGGGGGGGGGGGCAAAAATCGTCCAAAATTGCGTGACGTCATTTATGAACGGCCCCTAATATCGGAAGGAAAGAGTGTTCCAGACGGCCGCCGATGCGCTTCTGAAAGCGTGCGACGAATGTGTCTTTGTTTCACGGCCAGTCAAAAGAACCGCCGTCGCTGCGAGTGATGACCGGAGTTCGCGTGGCGATGGTTCAACGCCCCTCGACGAGACCAGCGGGCGAGGTAACGCGGTGTTGGGAATCTCCGTGTCCCTCCGCAGGTGTACTTGGCGTTCCAGGCTGTGCTGATTATCCTCATTGGACAAATCCCGTCCGCTGGCCCCACGCGCCCACGCGCCGTCTCCCCGGAGGCCTCCCGCAGGACCTCGCCTCCCTTACAAGCCGCCAACGGCTCTTCTGTAGTCACAGAGGTAACGCGACACAGCTCAGCGGCAAGCCTCAGGGGCACGCCTCAGGGACACGCCTGTTGTGGATCTGTAAATGTTGTGGATTTGCTCTCCAACATACCCCGGGATTAGCACGCACGGTTGGCTACGTATGATGTGAAAGAAGTTCAACATGTGTAGATGCTGCACTGGTCGTCCGTGGTTCCTCCTCCGGGCGCCTCTTGAGTCGTCCTCTCTCTCGCAGAGCGAGTGAATCCTGTGCGGCAGTGGCGGCGGCGGCGCAGTGTTGCGAGTTAAGAATCAGAATCTTTGTTTAGACTGCAGATGTCCAGCAGGGGCACGGGGGTCAGAGGGTTACAAAAACAGTTTAGTGAAGGTAAACGCATCGCTTCACAAATATGTACAAATACAGTTATACCTCGGTATACCACCGCTTTGGAATACGTCGAATTTGGTATACGTCGTGTTTTGACGAGAAAAACACATCTTGGGATACGACGTCTTGCTTGGGATATGACGTACTTGCTAGAACTTGTATGGGTCGGGATGAGTCACCGCGTAGACCCCGTTCACCACTCCTCCCCTCCCTCACCACCATCCTCGTAGGCTATCAACTCCTCTCAGCAAGGTAAAGTGATGTTACTTTTTATTTTTATTTCAATTTATTTTAATTTATGTATGCATTTTAGTAATAAGTAGTGTCTAAATTATTTTAAACAACACCATTAATGTATAATGTCATACAAAATATCATTTCTTATACTCTGGAACGGATTGTTTCCTTTCCGTTTATTTCTTATGGGAAAAATTAGTTTGGTATACGTCATTTTCGGTATAAGTCCTACCTTCTGGAACGAATTAACGACGTATACCGAGGTACCACTGTGAAACTAAACCATATTTTGTTTTCTTGGTTCTTTCGATAAAGTCACGTAGAAGGGAAGTAATAAAATAATAAAAATAAAAACATAATAAAATAATTCTCACGACGTTTCGGCCACAACGCAAGCAGCCGAGAAGATGAATCCCTGCAGTCACGAAAGCTTTAAATCGAAACATATTTTTTTTTACAATATATGAAGGAAACAAAACAATTGTCTGTATTCTTAACAATCCACGGAGATTGCATGAGAGATGTTTTTTTATCTTATTGCATCGTGGTGTGTGGGGAGCGGCAGTGAAGCGGTTAGCGTGCTGCCCTATGAACCCAAGTTCGATTCGTGCTCACAGCCAACACCAGTGACGATTATCCGTACCGGTCCTGGGCTTCCCCTAGGTCGACTCGGCCTCAAATGAGTACCCGGTGCTACGTGTAAACATCGCCGCTAGAGACGTAAAGGCGGCCGTGCGTGGTGCTGGCCAACCACACAGTAGGGGGCACGGGTGGTGCATCAGCCAGTCATCTCAGTCAATCGACCCTTGGCACCTGGGTCTGCCCCGTGACCTCCTGCCAGCGGGCGTTCGACACTTCACGTGGCCTCAAGGTGCACATGGCCTGGCACAAGCGTCGTGGTGACGTCACCGCCACTTAGTGGCGAATGGCGGTTGGTTGGTTGGTGTTTATAGAGGTGGTGTGTATATGTACGTGTGTCTTCTTGGTTCTTTCGGTAAAGTCACGTAGAAGGGAAGTAATAAAATAATAAAAATAAAACAAAATTTTTTTTATTATTTTTATTATTTTATTACTTCCCTTCTACGTGACTTTACCGAAAGAACCAAGAAGATGAATCCCTGCAGTCACGAAAGCTTTAAATCGAAAAAAAATGTACGTGTGTGTGTGTGTGTTTATAGAGGTGTGCGGAGCGGTAGTGTAGTGGTTAGTGCGATGCGCTATGAACCCGGCGACACGGGTTCGATTCCTGCTCACGGCCAACACCAGTGACGATTATCTGAACCGGTTTTGGGCCTCCCCTAGGTCGACTCGGCTTCAAATGAGTACCTGGTGCGGTGTGTAAACATCGTCACTAGGGAGACAAAGGCGGTCGGGCGTGGTGCTGGCCACCCACCCCCTCGTGTACCGTTCCGGCCTTCATAGGTGCTCGATAACAGCACTTGCCCCTAAAGTCTGTTAAGGCTATATGGGGGATCTTTGTTGTTTATAGAGGTGGTGTGTATATGTACGTGTGTGTGTGTTTATAGAGGTGGTGTGTGTATGTACGTGTGTGTATGTGTATAGAGGTGGTGTGTGTATGTACGTGTGTGTGTGTGTATAGAGGTGGTGTGTATATGTACGTGTGTGTGTTTATAGAGGTGGTGTGTGTATGTGTACGTGCGTGCGTATGTGTTTGTGTGCAGTGGGCTCTGGGAGATGACGCTGCCATCCTGGTGGGGCTGGCGTCCTCGCTCTACTTCTGCGGGGTGCTGCTCGGCTCCCTCGTCTTTGGCCAGTGCTCCGACCTGTACGGCAGGAGGCGCGTCTACCTCATCGGTACAGAATACGCACAGAAACGTCGCGTTCTGCTCGCTAACACCTCTTGCTCCCCCCCCCCCCGACAGTTTGTTAAGGCTATGCGGGGGATCTTTGTCTTTGGTTGGATGAGATGTTAACTACCTCGCCTGACGATGCGTGTTTATTTGGAGTTTGCGTGTCGCTCTGTAAACTATGAACTGAACTCTTTTCATTTTACCAGGTAAGGCCCACTGAGCTACCAGGATCTATTTCAGAAGCGACCTGGCCACAAATGGCGGCTCAACAAAGTTGGTTATTGTCGTGTGTATATTTATAGCAGCCAAAGATAATTGTTTTTTTACCCTTCTATCTGGCAACAAAACTGACACCTTTTTCATGTTTGCATAGACCACAATACCTGCAGCCATAATGCAAACAAAAACATAACTCTGATAATCTATGCAAATATGACTCCTTGTAAAAAAGGTGTCAGTTTTGTTGCCAGATAGAAGGGTAAAAAAACTATTATATTTTTTACTGGCAAATGAGGTTCCAATGGAGCAGCCAAAGACTCGATTAATGTATGTTTCTAAACATGGAGGGGAAAAACCGGAGGAGCCGGAGAAAAATCCACGCGATCACGGGGAGAGAGAAATTAAATCTACAAATATGCAGGAGTCAGGGTTGAGATCGAACCCACGACCTCCTGTATACCGGGCAATGGAGTTAACATCTCGCCACCACGAGATAAACGTACCCCCGGATAGCCTTTAACTCTTTAAGGCTACACGGGGTATCTTCATCTTTTTTTGTCCTGCCAGCCTTCGTAGTTGCTACTCTCTCACAGCACTTGACCCACACAGTCTGTTACGGCTACACGGGGGATGTTTGTGTTTTTTTTTGCCGTGCCAGCCTTCCTAGGTTCTGCTTGCTAGACAGCACTTGACCCCAACCGTCTGTTAAAGCTACACGGGGTATCTTTGTCTTTGTATTTGCCATGCCGGCCTTCGTAGTTGCTACTCGCTTACAGCACTTGCCCCCAACAGTCTGCTAAGGGGATCTTCGTCTTTGTGGCGGCGTCGTGGGCGCAGGGCTGCTGGTGGATGTCTTGGGCGGCCTCGCGTCGGCGCTGTCGCCCACGTGGCGCTGGTTCTGCGCGTCGCGACTCGTCGTCGGCGTCGCCAACGGCGGCACCGCCCTCGTCTCCTTCGTCCTCCTCCAGGAGTACGTGGGCTCCGCCTACTGGGGTAGCACCGGTAAGTCGAGCCACCGCGCGCTCGCCACGCCACCCCCCCCCCCGACACACGCAAATTTGTAATGGCGTCGCGGTTGTAAAACGAGCCGGCGAAAACGTTCGCAAAGGGGACCGCATCGTGTGCAAAACTTTTCTGTGGTGCGCTGCCGTGACAGGAGACTACGAGATCCGGCCGTGTGCCACGCGGTGGTGAGTGAACGTTCATTTGTACACGGAGGCTTCCATGGCCAAATATTACGATTCGCAATTGGTCACTTTTTTCGTTACGTTGGTCACTTTTCAGGTTATTTTGGTTACTTTTTTAGTAACTTTTTTGGTTACTTTGGTAACTTTAGAGGTAACCTTTTTGGTAATTTTTTGGTTACTTTAGTTGCTTTGTTTGTTACTTTGGTAAAAAAAATTGGTTACTTCGGTTACTTTTTTGGTAATTTTTGGTTACTTTTTTCGTTACTTTGGAAACTTTTTTGGTCACTTTTTAGTAACTTTTTGGTTACTTTGGAAACTGTTTTGGTTACTTTTGCCGAGTTTGCATTGGCTTCCGGTTGCCGAACGAACACATTGTGAGGTCGCGCTCATCACACGCACGCAAAGTGATCGCCACGAATGAACCACGATACCTCGCTGATCTTGTTAAGGAGGACACACCCATCACCATGCGAACTCCGGTCATCCTCGCAGCAGCAGCAGCAACGGCTTTTGGCTGACCGTCGAACAAAGACGGTGACCGCATCGCACGGCGCTTTCAGACGTGCTTCTGGGGCCGTCTGGAGCGCTCTTCCTTCCTATAACACATTCCTGCGGAGGGAGCTGGTAGGAACGTTGGGCTGCTCGGTCAATGGCCAGGATTAACGGCGGCGTGGTGTATTCCGCAAATATGCCCGACTGTGAGGGTGGGCACAAGCCGGCGTGAGTAGGTTAAACGTTGAGTTTTATAAGGGCACCACGGGGTGACCAGCCCCTCCCCAACCAGCCCCTCCCCACCCTCCCCTCCCCACCCAGCCCCTCCCTCCCCACCCAGCCCCTCCCCACCCTCCCCTCCCCACCCAGCCCCTCCCTCCCCACCCAGCCCTTCCCTGCACGACGGACACAATAATCCCCTGTGGGCTGGTGTAACCAGGAGGTTCCTACCAGTATTATCTGTTCTCTGTCAGATGAACCATTCCCGTCAGGAAGATGGAGAAAAGAGTTGGTGCAATAACGCAGCCTTGCTTCACACCTTAACTTCGATTGGCTCTGAGGTTTCACCATCAGAGAGGATGACAGCCTTCGTACCGTCACGCAACAGACGGAGGGGGTTAACACATTTTGTTGGGCAGCCATGTCTCAGAAGGATTCTCCATAGTGCATCACGATTAACAGAATCAAAAGCTTTAGTAAAATCAAAGAAGGCCATGTACAATGGTAGTCTCTGCTCCTGGCACTTGTCTTGGAGTTGACGGGCTGAGAAGATCATGTCCGAGGTTCCCCTGCCAGGTCGAAAGCCAGTCTGCGACTCAGCAAGGAGTTTTTCAGCAAGTGGTGGAAGTCTGTTTAGTCGGATTCTTGCCAGTATTTTTCCAGCAGTGGCACGAAGAGAGATTCTGTAGTTGTCAAAGTCTGACTTGTCACCTTTTTTGAAGACTGTGACAATGGTGGTTACATGTTGGTCTTTTGCGAGTTTCATAGAGGCATAAAACGCTCATTGATACCAATTGGAAGCTCACCTAAGCTGCCGATGAGCACGTTGTCTATTGCAAACCCTACGCCATGCAGGTGTCGTTCATGCGCTGATTTACCCTTCCACAAGAAGGTGTAGCCTCCACTTAGCTCGGTCAGTTGGCCTTCATCTGCCAGACGGGTTTCGCTGAGGGCGGCAATTTGGATATTAAATTGTCTCGGCTCGCGCGCCACAAGAGCTGTTCGGCGCTCTGGACGTTGCGAGTTTGGGTTGTCTGTGAGGGTCCTGACATTCCAGGATGCAATGTTTAGGTTATTTTTCTTTTTGTTTCGACCGCAATTATTGATGCTCCCTCTGGTCGTGGTAAGCCAGACAGGATGTTGCTCAGAAGGCTACGTTTAGGGCACCTTTTATAGCCCCCTCCCCATTTGGGGTGAGCAGAGTGGATCCTCGTGGGCTGCTCAGTCACAGCTACAGCTGCCGGGATGCACTGCTGCCTAAGCCGAGTGTGTGGCGACCTTCTAATAGCCGCAGTTTTGGTTCTGTGTTGTGTCTAGGAGCTTTTAGCTGCATAGGCCTGCCCCGCTCGCCACTTGCCAATCGCCCAAGGGCTTTGGGTGCGTAGTGTTGTGGTGCGATGGTACAGTTTCCTTGGAGGGTGCCAGTGCGTGAATTAATTTATGTGCAGTGTCTGTTGCACACCAGCCTACCGCACGGGGCTTAACCAGGAACCAAGCCTGGGTCCAATGGTGAGGCAGAAAACCAAGACGAGTGGAAGGCTTGTCCTGAAGCACCAGACATCCAGTGGCTCCTCCGTCAAGTGGCCAACGCCCCACCTAGGTGGGCCGTTGGCCACTTGGTATCCACCCGGGATTTTATCGGGGTTTACTCCCTTAGCCTAAGTGGCTAACCAGAGCCCCGTTAGGCTGCGCGTTTCCAGGTGAGTCCAGACAGGCCTCGTTGGTTACCGAAGCGGCCCAGGTGGTCGAACCACTCACCATACCTCGCCCTGTCTGGCAATCCTGTACTTTACCTGTTACCACCTCCCACGATGTGGACGAGGGGTTAGTTTTTGGGAGGCATACATACACTACACTATACACTACTATAGTACACTACACTGCTATACGCCACACTATACACTACATTACTATACACTACACTACTTTGTACTACACTACACTAATGTAGTGGGTCCCACGGAGGCAGACACTGGTAACGTGGAGGCAACACGTTTATTATACACCCCAACAGGGTAACTACATAAACTACATAAACACTCGGGATAACTAACTACGTCGTAACTACCACGGAGCTAGACCCCAACAAGGTTACCATATAAACGCGGCAGGTCAGTAAATTACTGCCTGACCCACGATGTTGAATGTGACGACCGAAGCCCGAAGAGCATAAGCCGAAGAGCGTAGCGCGGCGGGTTGATTCCAGAAGACAGCCCAGAACGCTCCCGGGACTGCCCTTTATCCTCCTGGGCGTGGCCTCACTCCGCCCTCCGCCACGCCCCCTTCGGGATCTTCCCAGAAGGTTCTGCAACTTTACTTAACGTATCCCCCCTTCGGTCCCCTTCTGGCCCCCGTCCTTATCCTCTGCTGGTCACATGCCCTCTTGGGTTCACCGAGACTGTCCCGTATGCCATAGGTGACAGAGAGAGGCTCTAAGACGCACAGTTACACTCTTCTCTCTGGCGCTAACGCCATAGTGACTCAATATACATCACTACACTACCATACACTACGCTACGATACACTACGTTGCTATTTACACGGATGGCAACATACGGTGAAAAAGAAGTTGAACATACACACATACAAATGAGTACCTGGTTCCCGTGTGTAGTAAACGTCGCCATTTTGGAGTCTGTCCGACCTTCAGAGGTGCTCACGAACAGAACTTGCCCCATCAGTCTGTTCAAGGCTATACGGGTGGTCTTTGTCTTGTGTGTGCGTACGGGGAGCGGTGGCGCAGCGGTTAGCACTGCGTCACGAACCGGGCGACCCGAGTTCGATTCCCGCTCACGGCCACCAACACCAGTGACGATTATCTGAACCGGTCCTGGCCCTCCCCTAGGTCGACTCGGCCTCAAATGAGTAGCCGGTGTGATGTGTAGTAAACATCGCCACTGGGGAGACAAAGGCGGCCGGGCGTGGTGCTGGCAACCCACCCCCTCGTGTGCCACAGTGCCGACCTTCGTAGGCGCTGCTGCTCGCTTCTAACAGCACTCGCCCCAACGGTCTGTTGAAGGTTACACGGGGGATGTTTGTGTTTGTGTGCGTGCGTGCTCAGGGTCCCTGTACAGCGCGTTCTTTGCGCTGGGCCTGGTGGTGTTTGCGGCGCTGGGGGTGGCGGTGAGGCCCTGGCGCTGGCTCACGCTGACGGCCAACGTCCCCGGGGTGCTGCTGCTCCTCGCCTCGCTGTAACCACCCCCACTACACGCCGCCCCGAAAGCACAATCGTTTAACACCATCCTAAACACAATCCTATAACACATTCCCTATTACACAATCCTATAACAATTCTATAACACGGGTGTGCATGTGTGTGCGCGTGTGTATGCGCGTGCGCGTGTCCGTGTGTGTGCGCGTGTATGTGTGTGTGCGCGTGTATGCGTGTACGTGTGTGCATGTCTATGTGTGTGTGTGTGCGTGTGTGTGTGTGTGCGTGTCTGTGTGTGCGTGTGTCTGTGTGTGCGTGCGTGTGTCTGTGTGTGCGTATGTCTGTGTGTGCGTGTGTGTGTCTGTGTGTGCGCGTGTCTGTGTGTGTGTGCGTGTATGTCTATGTGTGTGTGCGCGTGTCTGTGTGTGCGTGCGTGTGTCTGTGTGTGCGTGCGTGTGTCTGTGTGTGTGTGCGCGTGTCTGTGTGTGCGTGTGTGTGTCTGTGTGTGCGTGCGTGTGTCTGTGTGTGCGTGTGTGTGTCTGTGTGTGCGCGTGTCTGTGTGTGTGTGCGTGTATGTCTATGTGTGTGTGCGCGTGTCTGTGTGTGTATGCGTGTCTGTGTGTGCGCTCGCCCCCCAGGTGGCTGCTGCCCGAGTCCCCGCGGTGGCTGCATTCCCGTGGTCGTATCGTGGAGGCGGAGAAGACGCTGTCCCTCATCGCCAGGGGCAACGTCGGAGCCACGGCGACCGGCTCCCTCCCCCCGCCCCAAGTGCAGCTGCGCCCGCTGCGAGGCTCGGGGGAGGTGGGGGCGGCGAGGGGGGGGGGCGCGGCGGGGGGATCGCTGATGGATGTGGGGACTCACCCGGTTCTGCGCACGCGCACGCTCGTCATGATGTACACGTGGTGAGAGAGAGAGAGAGCGACACGCGGTCGGAGAGCTTCGCTCGCACACACGTGACGTATGTATGTACTCCTCTGCTTATGAACATTCAACTTACGAACTTTCAGAGATACGAACAAACCCCGTCTGTTTGTCCAGTTGCCCGTTCGGACCGAGAGTCGTAAGTTCGACCGCCGCGCAATAGATGGCGGTGGTGGCATCTACATCTGCAGAACGTGAAGAACCAGTGTCATCTACATCTGCAGAACGTGAAGAATCAGTGCCATCTACATCTGCAGAACGTGAAGAACCAATGGCATCTACATCTGCAGAACGTGGAGAACCAATGGCATCTACATCTGCAGAACGTGAAGAACCAGTGTCATCTACATCTGCAGAACGTGAAGAATCAGTGCCATCTACATCTGCAGAACGTGAAGAACCAATGGCATCTACATCTGCAGAACGTGGAGAACCAATGGCATCTACATCTGCAGAACGTGATTAACCAGTGGCATCTACATCTGCAGAATGTGAAGAACCAGTGGCATCTACATCTACAGGATGTAAATAACCAATGGCATCTACATCTGCAGAACGTGAAGAACCAATGGCATCTACATCTGCAGAACGTGAAGAACCAATGGCATCTACATCTACAGAACGTGAAGAACCAATGGCATCTACATCTGCAGATCGTGAAGAACCAGTGGCATCTATATCTGCAGAACGTGAAGAACCAGTGGCATCTACAGAACGTGAAGAACCAGTGGCATCTACATCTGCAAAACGTGAAGAACCAGAGGCATCTAAATCTGCAGAACGTGAAGAACAAATGGCATCTACATCTACAGAACGTGAAGAACCAGTGGCATCTAAATCTGCAGAACGTGAAGAACCAATGGCATCTACATCTGCAAAACGTGAAGAACCAGTGGCATCTACATCTACAGAATGTGAAGAACCAGTGGCATCTACATCTGCAGATCGTGAAGAACCAGTGGCATCTATATCTGCAGAACGTGAAGAACCAGTGGCATCTACAGAACGTGAAGAACCAGTGGCATCTACATCTGCAAAACGTGAAGAACCAGTGGCATCTAAATCTGCAGAACGTGAAGAACCAATGGCATCTACATCTACAGAACGTGAAGAACCAGTGGCATCTAAATCTGCAGAACGTGAAGAACCAATGGCATCTACATCTGCAAAACGTGAAGAACCAGTGGCATCTACATCTACAGAACGTGAAGAACCAGTGGCATCTACATCTGCAGATCGTGAAGAACCAGTGGCATCTATATCTGCAGAACGTGAAGAACCAGTGGCATCTACAGAACGTGAAGAACCAGTGGCATCTACATCTGCAAAACGTGAAGAATCAGTGGCATCTAAATCTGCAGAACGTGAAGAACCAATGATGTGCACGTGGTGAGAGAGAGAGAGAGCGACACGCGGTCGGAGAGCTTCGCTCGCACACACGTGACGTATGTATGTACTCCTCTGCTTATGAACATTCAACTTACGAACTTTCAGAGATACGAACAAACCCCGTCTGTTTGTCCAGTTGCCCGTTCGGACCGAGAGTCGTAAGTTCGACCGCCGCGCAATAAATGGCGGTGGTGGCATCTACATCTGCAGAACGTGAAGAACCAGTGTCATCTACATCTGCAGAACGTGAAGAATCAGTGCCATCTACATCTGCAGAACGTGAAGAACCAATGGCATCTACATCTGCAGAACGTGGAGAACCAATGGCATCTACATCTGCAGAACGTGATTAACCAGTGGCATCTACATCTGCAGAACGTGAAGAACCAGTGGCATCTACATCTACAGGACGTAAAGAACCAATGGCATCTACATCTGCAGAACGTGAAGAACCAATGGCATCTACATCTGCAGAACGTGAAGAACCAATGGCATCTACATCTACAGAACGTGAAGAACCAATGGCATCTACATCTGCAGATCGTGAAGAACCAGTGGCATCTATATCTGCAGAACGTGAAGAACCAGTGGCATCTACAGAACATGAAGAACCAGTGGCATCTACATCTGCAAAACGTGAAGAACCAGTGGCATCTAAATCTGCAGAACGTGAAGAACCAATGGCATCTACATCTACAGAACGTGAAGAACCAGTGGCATCTAAATCTGCAGAACGTGAAGAACCAATGGCATCTACATCTGCAAAACGTGAAGAACCAGTGGCATCTACATCTACAGAATGTGAAGAACCAGTGGCATCTACATCTGCAGATCGTGAAGAACCAGTGGTATCTATATCTGCAGAACGTGAAGAACCAGTGGCATCTACAGAACGTGAAGAACCAGTGGCATCTACATCTGCAAAACGTGAAGAACCAGTGGCATCTAAATCTGCAGAACGTGAAGAACCAATGGCATCTACATCTACAGAACGTGAAGAACCAGTGGCATCTAAATCTGCAGAACGTGAAGAACCAATGGCATCTACATCTGCAAAACGTGAAGAACCAGTGGCATCTACATCTACAGAACGTGAAGAACCAGTGGCATCTACATCTGCAGATCGTGAAGAACCAGTGGCATCTATATCTGCAGAACGTGAAGAACCAGTGGCATCTACAGAACGTGAAGAACCAGTGGCATCTACATCTGCAAAACGTGAAGAATCAGTGGCATCTAAATCTGCAGAACGTGAAGAACCAATGATGTGCACGTGGTGAGAGAGAGAGAGAGAGAGAGAGCGACACGCGGTCGGAGAGCTTCGCTCGCACACACGTGACGTATGTATGTACTCCTCTGCTTATGAACATTCAACTTACGAACTTTCAGAGATACGAACAAACCCCGTCTGTTTGTCCAGTTGCTCGTTCGGACCGAGAGTCGTAAGTTCGACCGCCGCGCAATAAATGGCGGTGGTGGCATCTACATCTGCAGAACGTGAAGAACCAGTGTCATCTACATCTGCAGAACGTGAAGAATCAGTGCCATCTACATCTGCAGAACGTGAAGAACCAATGGCATCTACATCTGCAGAACGTGGAGAACCAATGGCATCTACATCTGCAGAACGTGATTAACCAGTGGCATCTACATCTACAGAACGTGAAGAACCAGTGGCATCTACATCTACAGGACGTAAAGAACCAATGGCATCTACATCTGCAGAACGTGAAGAACCAATGGTATCTACATCTGCAGAACGTGAAGAACCAATGGCATCTACATCTACAGAACGTGAAGAACCAATGGCATCTACATCTGCAGATCGTGAAGAACCAGTGGCATCTATATCTGCAGAACGTGAAGAACCAGTGGCATCTACAGAACGTGAAGAACCAGTCGCATCTACATCTGCAAAATGTGAAGAACCAGTGGCATCTAAATCTGCAGAACGTGAAGAACCAATGGCATCTACATCTACAGAACGTGAAGAACCAGTGGCATCTAAATCTGCAGAACGTGAAGAACCAATGGCATCTACATCTGCAAAACGTGGAGAACCAGTGGCATCTACATCTACAGAACGTGAAGAACCAGTGGCATCTACATCTGCAGATCGTGAAGAACCAGTGGCATCTATATCTGCAGAACGTGAAGAACCAGTGGCATCTACAGAACGTGAAGAACCAGTGGCATCTACATCTGCAAAACGTGAAGAATCAGTGGCATCTAAATCTGCAGAACGTGAAGAACCAATGGCATCTACATCTGCAGAACGTGAAGAACCAATGGCATCTACATCTGCAAAACGTGGAGAACCAGTGGCATCTACATCTACAGAACGTGAAGAACCAGTGGCATCTACATCTGCAGATCGTGAAGAACCAGTGGCATCTATATCTGCAGAACGTGAAGAACCAGTGGCATCTACAGAACGTGAAGAACCAGTGGCATCTACATCTGCAAAACGTGAAGAATCAGTGGCATCTAAATCTGCAGAACGTGAAGAACCAATGGCATCTACATCTGCAGAACGTGAATAACCAGTGGCATCTATATCTGCAGAACGTGAAGAACCAGTGGCATCTACAGAACGTGAAGAACCAGTGGCATCTACATCTGCAAAACGTGAAGAACCAGTGGCATCTAAATCTGCAGAACGTGAAGAACCAATGGCATCTACATCTACAGAACGTGAAGAACCAGTGGCATCTAAATCTGCAGAACGTGAAGAACCAATGGCATCTACATCTGCAAAACGTGAAGAACCAGTGGCATCTACATCTACAGAATGTGAAGAACCAGTGGCATCTACATCTGCAGATCGTGAAGAACCAGTGGTATCTATATCTGCAGAACGTGAAGAACCAGTGGCATCTACAGAACGTGAAGAACCAGTGGCATCTACATCTGCAAAACGTGAAGAACCAGTGGCATCTAAATCTGCAGAACGTGAAGAACCAATGGCATCTACATCTACAGAACGTGAAGAACCAGTGGCATCTAAATCTGCAGAACGTGAAGAACCAATGGCATCTACATCTGCAAAACGTGAAGAACCAGTGGCATCTACATCTACAGAACGTGAAGAACCAGTGGCATCTACATCTGCAGATCGTGAAGAACCAGTGGCATCTATATCTGCAGAACGTGAAGAACCAGTGGCATCTACAGAACGTGAAGAACCAGTGGCATCTACATCTGCAAAACGTGAAGAATCAGTGGCATCTAAATCTGCAGAACGTGAAGAACCAATGATGTGCACGTGGTGAGAGAGAGAGAGAGAGAGCGACACGCGGTCGGAGAGCTTCGCTCGCACACACGTGACGTATGTATGTACTCCTCTGCTTATGAACATTCAACTTACGAACTTTCAGAGATACGAACAAACCCCGTCTGTTTGTCCAGTTGCTCGTTCGGACCGAGAGTCGTAAGTTCGACCGCCGCGCAATAAATGGCGGTGGTGGCATCTACATCTGCAGAACGTGAAGAACCAGTGTCATCTACATCTGCAGAACGTGAAGAATCAGTGCCATCTACATCTGCAGAACGTGAAGAACCAATGGCATCTACATCTGCAGAACGTGGAGAACCAATGGCATCTACATCTGCAGAACGTGATTAACCAGTGGCATCTACATCTACAGAACGTGAAGAACCAGTGGCATCTACATCTACAGGACGTAAAGAACCAATGGCATCTACATCTGCAGAACGTGAAGAACCAATGGTATCTACATCTGCAGAACGTGAAGAACCAATGGCATCTACATCTACAGAACGTGAAGAACCAATGGCATCTACATCTGCAGATCGTGAAGAACCAGTGGCATCTATATCTGCAAAATGTGAAGAACCAGTGGCATCTACAGAACGTGAAGAACCAGTCGCATCTACATCTGCAAAATGTGAAGAACCAGTGGCATCTAAATCTGCAGAACGTGAAGAACCAATGGCATCTACATCTACAGAACGTGAAGAACCAGTGGCATCTAAATCTGCAGAACGTGAAGAACCAATGGCATCTACATCTGCAAAACGTGGAGAACCAGTGGCATCTACATCTACAGAACGTGAAGAACCAGTGGCATCTACATCTGCAGATCGTGAAGAACCAGTGGCATCTATATCTGCAGAACGTGAAGAACCAGTGGCATCTACAGAACGTGAAGAACCAGTGGCATCTACATCTGCAAAACGTGAAGAATCAGTGGCATCTAAATCTGCAGAACGTGAAGAACCAATGGCATCTACATCTGCAGAACGTGAAGAACCAATGGCATCTACATCTGCAAAACGTGGAGAACCAGTGGCATCTACATCTACAGAACGTGAAGAACCAGTGGCATCTACATCTGCAGATCGTGAAGAACCAGTGGCATCTATATCTGCAGAACGTGAAGAACCAGTGGCATCTACAGAACGTGAAGAACCAGTGGCATCTACATCTGCAAAACGTGAAGAATCAGTGGCATCTAAATCTGCAGAACGTGAAGAACCAATGGCATCTACATCTGCAGAACGTGAATAACCAGTGGCATCTATATCTGCAGAACGTGAAGAACCAGTGGCATCTACAGAACGTGAAGAACCAGTGGCATCTACATCTGCAAAACGTGAAGAATCAGTGGCATCTAAATCTGCAGAACGTGAAGAACCAATGGCATCTACATCTGCAGAACGTGAAGAACCAATGGCATCTACATCTGCAGAACGTGAAGAATCAGTGGCATCTACATCTGCAGAACGTGAAGAACCAATGGCATCTACATCTGCAGAACGTGACGAACCAGTGGTATATACGTCTGCAGAGCGTGAAGAACCAGTGGCATCTACGTCTGCAGAACGTGAAGAACCAGTGGTATCTACATCTGCAGAACGTGAAGAACTGGTGGCATCTACATCTGCAGAACGTGAAGAACCAGTGGCATCTACATCTGCAGAACGTGAGGAACTAATGGAATCTACATCTGCAGAACGTGAAGAACCAGTGGTATCTACGTCTGCAGAGCGTGAAGAACCAGTGGCATCTACATCTGCAGAACGTGAAGAACCGGTGGCATCTACATCTGCAGAACATGAAGAACCAATGGCATCTTCAGAATGTGACGAACCAGTGGCATCTACGTCTGCAGAAGGAACGAAACAAGGGGATTTATCCACAGATGTGGCTGTCGCCTGATGAAGCTAGTTGTAATTACGCGATCTAACCCAAAAAAAACCTGTATTATGGATATTGGCCACGAAAGCCTACGTGTTAAGCTGTGTGCACTGTGTGCCATGTGTACTGTGTCGTGTGTACAGTGTGTACAGGTTTCTTGTGCAGCCTCATGTACTCCAGGCTGTGTGTACGATGTGCCGTGTGTAGTATGTGCCGTGTGTACAATGTGTCGTGTGTGCTGTGTGTACTGTGTGTGCTGTGTATGCAGGTTTGTGTGCAGCCTCGTGTACTACGGGCTGTGCGTAGTATGTGCTGTGTGTACGATGCGCCGTGTGTACTGTGTGTGATGTGTGTGCTGTGTATGCCGTGTGTACGATGCGCCGTGTGTGCTGTGTGTGCAGGTTTGTGTGCAGCCTCGTGTACTACGGGCTGTGTGTAGTATGTGTCGTGTGCTGTGTGTGCTGTGTGTACTGTGTGTACGATGTGTCGTGTGTACGATATGTCGTGTGTACTATGTGCCGTGTGTGCTGTGTGTACGATGTGTCGTGTGTACGATATGTCGTGTGTACGATGTGTCGTGTGTGATGTGTGTGATGTGTGTGCAGGTTTGTGTGCAGCCTCGTGTACTACGGGCTGTGTGTAGTATGTGCCGTGTGTACGATGTGCCGTGTGTACTATGTGCCGTGTGTACGATGTGTCGTGTGTGCTGTGTGTGCTGTGTGTGCCGTGTGTGCCGTGTGTGCCGTGTGTGATGTGTGTGCTGTGTGTGCTGTGTGTGCTGTGTGTGCCGTGTGTGCCGTGTGTGCCGTGTGTGCTGTGTGTGATGTGTGTGCTGTGTGTGCTGTGTGTGCTGTGTGTGCCGTGTGTGCCGTGTGTGCCGTGTGTGATGTGTGTGCTGTGTGTGCTGTGTGTGCTGTGTGTGCAGGTTTGTGTGCAGCCTCGTGTATTACGGCCTCACGCTGGGCGTGGGAGACCTCAGCCGTGACGTCCACATGGGGCTGGCGCTCTCCGGGCTGGCGGAGCTGCCCTCGTACCCCCTGTCCCTGTTTCTCATCAACGCCTCCTGGTACCCACCTAGTGCATCGTGCACACAGTACACACCACGCACAGTGCACGCAGTACACACAGTACACACGACACATACTACACACAGTGCACACAGTACACACAGTACACACAGCACACAGTCCACACGGCACACAGTACACACAGTACACACAGTACACACGGCACACAGTACACACAGTACACACCGCGCACAGTGCACGTGGCACACACAGTACACACAGTACACACAGTACACACGGCACACAGTACACACAGTACACACAGTACACACGGCACACAGTACACACAGTACACACGGCACACAGTACACACAGTACACACGGCACACAGTACACACAGTACACACGGCACACGGCACACAGTACACACAGTACACACGGCACACAGTACACACAGTACACACAGTACACACAGTACACACGGCACACAGTACACACAGTACACACGGCACACAGTACACACAGTACACACAGTACACGGCACACAGTACACACGGTACACACGGTACACACAGTACGCACGGCACACAGTACACACAGTACACACGGTACACACCACGCACAGTGCACGCAGTACACACAGCGCATAGTACACACAGTACACACGGCACACAGTAGACACAGTACACACAGTACACGGCACACAGTACACACGGCACACAGTACACACAGTACACAGTACACATAGTACACACAAGCACATAGTACACACGGCTCATAGTATACACGACACCCATCTACGCACGTCTATAAAGGTACAGTGGTACCTCGGTATACGTCGTTAATTCGTTACAGAAGGTGGTAGGACTTATACCGAAAATGACGTAGATACCAAACGAATTTTTCCTGTAAGAAATAAAGGGAAAGGAAATAATCCGTTCCAGAGTGTAAGAAATGGTATTTTATATGGCATATTATACATTAATGGGGTTGTATAAACAATTTAGACACTACTTATTACTAAAATGCATATGAAGAGAATATTTTGAAGCACTTCTTTAGTTCACCAATGCACAGCTACACTCGTTCCACAACCAACCCCGGTCCCACAGCGCCCTTTAACCCATCCCCAAGACACATTCCCGTCTGGCACGCCTTGGTCCGGGTGACGTCACTGCCCTTTGACCCCTGACCCCTGTCCAGCGCATTCCGCCCTTTAACCCATCCCCAAGACACATTCCCGTCTGGCGCGCCTTGGTCCGGGTGACGTCACTGCCCTTTGACCCCTGACCCCTGTCCCGCGCATTCCGCCCTTTAACTCATCTCCAATACACATTCCCGTCTAGCGCGCCTTGGTCCGGGTGAAGTCGTGTTTGCGTGGTGCGTGTCCGTGAGGGTGGCTCGCAGATCCCCTACACATACGTAAATTAAAATAAATGTAGAAATTAAAATAAATACATAAATAAATTAAAATAAATGCATAAGTAAATTACAATAAATTGAAATAAAAAGTAACATCACTTTGCCTTGCTGAGAGGAGTTGATAGCCTACGAGGATGGTGGTGAGGAAGGGGAGGAGATGTTATTTTTTGGAAGGAGAGTCCCCTTCCATTAAAACTTCAGGAAGCTGAAATTCTGAGGTTTTTTCTCTTTTTTGTCTCTTTTCTTGGCTTGGACCTGGTTGAGGCTCACCGGGTTTGAGTTTTACTAAAAACCTGTCCATTGAAGTTTGTTTTTGCCTTCTTCTAAGAATGTTCCTGAAGTGTGACATTGTCTGGTCATTTCACACAATACTGTTACGGCTTGTTAGAGCTTTATTGGGGGTGGGGCATACGCGGGTACGCGGTGACTCATCCCGACCCATACAAGTTCTAGCAAGCGCGTCGTATCCCAAGACATTTTTTCTCGTCAAAACACGACGTATACCAAATTCGACGTATTCCAAAGCAGTTGTATACCGAGGTATGACTGTACAGACGGAGGTTCATCTGTTTCGCCTTAAGAGGCTGTTGGAGCAAGTGCTGTTAGCGAGCACCTGGCCGCCTTTGTCTCCCCAGCGGTGATGTTCACACACCGGACCAGGTATTCATTTGAGGCGGAGTCGATTTAGGGGAGGCCAGGACCAATTCAGATAATCGTCACTTGTGTTGGCCGTAAGCGGTGGTTTGCCGGATTCTTAGCACGGCGCGCTAATCGCTACACTGCCGCTCCCCACACACACACACACGTACATATACACACGCACCGCTATACGCACACACACACAATTACAGATATGTTGTGCCGCAGAACCACGCGGGGACGTGGAATGCTGTAAGGGCTGTTGCCGTTTATTAAACACTGTTGAAGTCAACACTCTAACTCACACCAGAGGTAGGTGCTCTCTGTCGGGGTCCTTTACCCCGGACTCTGAACAGTACCTGGTCCTGCCTTCGGCTATCCTTTAGGGCTCTCCAACTCGTCTGCCCGGAGCGGGGGTTTATCCAACACCGCCCGGTGATGAGGAGGGAGAGACACCTTGCAGCCGATTCTTGCCCTGGCTCCCCAGGGGGTCCCACTTAAGTTCCCCTTTGGCGGCTCCTCCCCATAGCTCGGATCCGCCTTTGTTCCCGTAGGTACCTCTTCACCATGACGTGATCCCTAACTGTCAACTCGCTCGCACCTCCCTCTGTTCGCCCCCTCGTGGTTGCTCACAATACTCCTCTACATATACATACGCACCACTATAACCACGCACATACACACACAAGACAAATATCTCCTGTATAGCCTGAACCGACTGTTGGAGCAAGTGCTGTTAGCGAAGACCTACGAAGGCCAGAGCTGCACACGAGGTGGTGGGTAGCCAGCACCACGTCCCTGCCGCCTTTGCCTCCCCAATGATGGTGATCTTTACACAAACTGCACCAGATACACATTTAAGGCTGAGTCGTCCTAGAGGAGGCCCACGACTGGTTTATATATTCGCTGTAACTGTTCCTGGCCATGAGCGGAAATCGAACTCTGTTCAGTGCGCGAAGCACCGCACCACATTGGTACACATACGAAATGGAAAATAGATCCCCCAAATGGCCCACTTGGGCTGTTGAAACACATGCTGTTAATGGGCACCACATTGGAATCCCGGCTTCTCAGTGTCTCTGACATGGCCATTCTAATCTAGGGCATCACGGTGGTGAGACGTTAACTACCTCGCCTGGTATATAGGAGTTCGTGGGTACGATCCTGACCCTGACATCTGCTGTAATTTTGGTGTTTGCATATTCTTCCTGTGGTCACGTGGATTTTTCTCCGGGTCCTCCGGTGTTTCGCTCCACGTTTAAAATCACACATTTATAGTATTTGGCTGCAATACATTTCCACATGATGATAAGCCACTTCGTTGAGCAATCACTTGTGACTAGGTCACTTCTGAAAACGAGCTACGTAGTAAAGTGGGCCTTACCTGGTTAAATACAAAATTATTTTATTTGTGAACCCACAAGGCTGGGATTGGCTGAGCCTGCAGGGCTGTGATTGGCTGAGATTGAGTGGCTGGGCGTGGCCAAGCTTGCGTGGCTGGGATTGGCTGAGCCTGCGTGGCTGTGATTGGCTGAGCTTGCGTGGCTGTGATTGGCTGAGCTTGCGTGGTTGGGCGTGGCCAAGCTTGCGTGGCTGGGATTGGCCGAGCCTGCGTGGCTGTGATTGGCTGAGCCTGCAGGGCTGTGATTGGCTGAGCCTGCGTGGCTGTGATTGGCCGAGCTTGCGTGGCTGTGATTGGCTGAGCCTCTGTGGTTGGGAGTGGCCGAGCCTGCGCAGCTGTGATTGGCCGAGCCTTGCGTGGCTGTGATTGGCTGAGCCTGCGCGGCTGTGATTGGCCGTGCTTGCGTGGTTCGGAGTGGCTGAGCCTGCGCGGCTGTGATTGGCCGAGCCTTGCGTGGCTGTGATTGGCTGAGCCTGCGCGGCTGTGATTGGCCGTGCTTGCGTGGTTCGAAGTGGCTGAGCTTTGTGTCTCCCCTCTCCCTCAGGTGCGGACGCAGACGCGGTCTCTCGGGCTTCCTGAGTTGCGGGGGTATCGCGTGCATCGTCGTTGCGGCGCTGGTGACGCAGGCTGGTGAGCGCGAGGGTGAGTTGGTCTCGTGTGTGTGGTGGCGGGGAGCTGTGGGGCGGGCTGCACTACGAAGCCGGTGATATCCCGAGTTCGATTCACGTTCACGGCTGACACCGGTGATGATTATCTGAACCAGTCCTGGGCCTCCCCTAGATCGACTCGGCCTCAAATTAAGTACAGTAAAACCTTAGATTGCGAGTAACTTGGTCTGCGAGTGTTTTGCAAGACGAGCAAATTTTTTGATAAATTTTAACTTGATAAACGAGCGAGGTCTTGCAATACGAGCAGTGCGTACAGTATACGCTTTGTCTGCCGAGCGTCACGTGATCACAACTGAGCCGATGGTTCTTCTCTCTCTCTCGCTGCGGGATTGTGGGTAATCGTCTCCCATGCTCGGTCTCAGTCGGCGTGCCTCACTCGTAGAGTCAACATCCGTGCGAGCGTAGACTGTTCACTATAGTGTTGTGACCACGTGTGTGTGTGCGTAAAGCATTTTTTATTTTGTGTCCAAGTGTAGTGACTGTTCTTTAGTAACTGTACTGCAACAATGGCCCCCTCCTCCTCTCCTCTCTCTCGTCTTCCTCACACCAGCCACGATTAAATGTAATAAATAAATTTGATTACTTTATGTTAAATTTAAATAATAAAAATATAAAAAGGTATTTTGTATTAATTATTTTTATATGAATACAGTATTTTTGGGTTGTGGAACGAATCATCTGAGTTTCCATTATTTCTTATGGGGAAATTGATATACGAGTGCTTTGGATTACACAAAAGCGGCCGGGCGTGGTGCTGGCCACCCTCTCCCTCGTGTGCCGTGCCGGCATTCATAGGTGTCCGCTAACAGCAATTGTTCATCCAGTCTGTTCAGGCGATACATGGGATCTTTGTCTTTTTGTGGTGCGCAGTGGCGCGCCAGTACCTGGCCCTAGCAGGGAAGCTGTGCATCAGCGCTGCCTTCAGCATCGTCTACATCTACACCTCCGAACTCTACCCCACCTCCATCAGGTTAACCATCAAAAAAACTAAAATATTTTTTTTTACTTTACCAGGTAAGGCTACCCACCGAGCTACGTAGCTCTGTTTCAGAAGCCACCTTGCCAACGCAAGTGATAGCTCAACGAAGTGGCTCATCATCATCATCGTGTGGAAATTTATAACATTCTAAACGCGTGATGACGATTCTAAATGTGGAGGGAAAAACCGGAGGACTTGGAGAAAACTCCACGGGGAGAGAGACACGCAAACCCAAAATATACAACAGGCGTCATGGTCGTGATCGAACCCACGACCTCCCGTATACCAGGCGAGGGAGCTAACATTTCCCTACCGTGGTGCCGTAATAACGATTTAATAATTTGACAAATTTATCCAGGAGAGTTGCACTCACACTGGTGAGCAATTACACGGCTGGGAGGCAATCAGATGCGCTTCTGTGGCCGTCTGGAACGCTCCTCCTTCCGGTGTTAGATTGAAAAACGAATTTATTTAGCACTAACAAGCTGCATTATAACACCTGCGTTGTAACGAGCTGTGTTATAGCGAGTTCATAAGGTGCAGCGGTATAACAAGCTGCGTTATAACACCTGCGTTGTAACGAGCTGTATCGTAGCGAGTTAATAAGAAGCTGCGTTATAACAAGCTGTTATAATTCCTGTGTTATAACTCCTTTGTTATAACTCCTCTGTTATAACTCCTCTGTTATAACGAGCGGTGTTGTAGCGCATTCATAAGCAGCTGCGTGATAACAAGCTGTGTTGTAACGATCCTTCTCGCCTCCGCCCAGGAATGTCGCCCTGGGCTTGAGCTCCACGTCCTCCCGTCTGGGCGGGATCCTCGCTCCATTCATCCCCAGTCTGGTGAGGCGGGGTCACGTGGGGTCACGTAGGGTCACGCGGGGTCACACGAGGTCACGCAGGGTCGCATTCAAAGCCTACATTGGCTGTTGAGACAATTCCTGTCAGCAAGCACCAGATTGGAACCCAGGCTTCTCAGTGTCTCTGACATGGCCATTCTAATCTCGGGCACCACAGTTATGAGATGTTAACTACCTCGCCTGGTATACAGGAGGTTGAGGGTTTGATTGCGACCCTGACACCTGCTGTATATTTGGAGTGTGCGTGTCTCTCTCTCTCTCAGGTCTACATAGCTCAGTGGGCCTTGCCTTGGCATAATAAGAAATAGTAAATAGTAAATAAAAAGTAATGGCAGGGTCACTCGGGGTCATGAGTTCACACGAGGTGATGCAGAGTCATACCCTGGTGACGTTGTTATTGTTGTACGTGTGTGTGTGTGTGATTATGAGTGTGTATGTGTGTATAGGTGTGCAGTGGCACAGTGGTTAGCGCGCTGCGCGGCCTGAGTTTGATTCCCGCTCACGGCCAACACCAGTGACGATTATCTGAACCGGTCCTGGGCCTTCCCTAGGTCTACTCAGCCGTAAATTAAGTACCTGTTGCGATGTGTATTAAACATCTTCACTGGGGAGACAAAGGTTGCCGTGCATGGCTGTGCTAGCAACCCACGCCCTCGTGTGCCGTGCCGACCTTCGTAGGTGCTACTCGCTAACAGCACTTGCCCCAGCAGTCTGGTCAGGCAATACGGGAGATATTTGTATTGGTTACGCACATTGTATGCGAGCACGCGCGCGTGTGTGAATGCACGTGTGTGTGTGTGTGAATGGATATTTGTGTGTGAATGTTGTCTGGCAAAAACAACCCCCTACCTCCTCGTTGGTGCCGGATGGCAACGCTGTGGTGGTAAGTGCCGTGGTGTGAGGGCCACTGTAGATTGGTCATTGCCCTCATGGCGTTTGTAACCACCACAGCGGCCAAATGGAGGCTCTGGACGGGTGTGGGGGGCTGGTAACACCTCCACCTTAAATTAATTACCACAAAACCACAATAAATTTGTTCTACTAAGCTTGTGCTGGAGGCCCCGGGGGGACAGGTGTCTATGATGTCTCCTGGCCAAACCCCATTTGGCAAAGCCAGGAGACTGAATCCTTACCCTCGGGGCTCCTCCAGAAACAACAAAGAACCACCACGGGTGGCCATGTGGAATGTTCAAACGCTCACTGCGGAGGAGAGGCTGCCACTCCTCTGTCGGACCGGTACTGCCTGGATCTCTGTGGTATTCAGGAGGTCCGGTGGACCAGCTCTGGCTCCTGCCACCATGAAGGGTGGACATT